TTAGGGCTTAGGGTTTAGGGCTTAGGGTTTAGGGTGTAGGGTTTTGGGTTTACGGTTTAGGGTTTAGGGTTTAGGGCTTAGGGTTTAGGGTTTAGGGTGTAGGGTTTAGGGTTTAGGGTTTTAGGAGTCAGGCTCAGAGTGCGAAGAGGAATGGGAGCAGGGGGCCTTCTGACCTCCTGTTTCTACTCTATATTCCTGGATCGATGCATCTTCTCCGTATCTACCGAGGTCACTGATGACATATGTATAGCCCAGCAAGCAGGCCCTTAGCCCGAACGCCTCAACCCAACGTGCTACTTTCCTCAGGCAGTCAGCTCCCGAACAGCCGTCCAGCGAAACATCGAAGAGAAAGCTCCGGTCCGGAGGCGATCCCAGATTTTGTTGGAGATTTGGGAGTTTCCGAAAATAGGGGGTACCTTGTTTTAAGGTCCTTGTAATAAGGATCCTATCATTTAGGGTATTATATTAGGGTCCCCTAGTTTTGGAAATCCCCAGTTAAACCCGAACAAACTTTTCCCACACCTTGGGGTATGGTTCATGATGCTTGGATAGCTGTCGAAAGCTGCGAGACCCCAAACCCGTATAAACCCCAAACCCCAAAACCCATATTCCAAATGCCCCAGACCCCGCTAACGCTCTTAGAATCCTTCTCTGGACAGCTTACAACTTACAACAGTAACCCAAAATCCTATGGTCTCTCGAGGGTTCCACAAGCTGAGTAGTTGTGTATTTTCTCGGAAGTTGAGCAGAAGAGTGTATGTGATATTTCGGCTTCAGGGCGCTGGTAGAGCTTTGCACACAGCGTCTGTCATTTGTAGACGTTCGCTTAGTTGCCTTTGTATAGGTGCTGAAAGCATCGCCTACGAAGGCCGTTCACTTCGATCATGAACGTCCCTTCAGCAGCCACTTCAGTAGTTTGAGCGTCTTCACCTGCACTTCAAACCTTACAGGCCCGACATGGATGGACACAACAGTTTGGATCCAACTCTTTTTTGTTCCTTGCCGCAGCCACCATGCTTTGACACATCTAGGGCACGATTCAGCCACACTAATTAGTACACCACTGCGGCTTCTCAATGTCGGGTTATCTTGAATCTTGCCTGAAGAACAGCTTGATGAGAGAGGCCCCGCCAATCCCTGGCACGACTCCAGCACTCCACAAGATATGGCTAGTTCTCTTAATTAGGGTGTCCTTTCTAAAGGGTTGCCATACTATATTAGGGACCTAAAGCGGGGCCCCAATTTAAAGAACTACCCTTCTGGTCTTTGACAGCGATCCTGCAGCCTCAAACCCCAGAACCCAAGCCTGCAACCCCAAGCCCGAAACGCCACATCCTATCATTTTTGTAACTTGGAACCTTATTGCGCTAAAACTTGGGGCTCAGGGTTTGTGGTGTAATTAGGTCTACAGGGTGTAGGGTGGGTTTAGTAGGGTTTATGGCTGCAGCCCCTAAGCGCTGTGACCCTTCTGAGCCCTATAACCTATATCCTGAAGCTCCGCTCAGGCCACAAGAATGCCTCCGATCCCATGGGAGCGCGCGGGTTTCCCTGGTTCCGCTGGCGCCGGCGGAGAAACAACACGGAGGCCGGGCAAGTTCTTGGGTTTGTAGGGTTACAGAGTTTTTGGGTATTTCAGGTTCCAGGGTTTAGGGCTTTAGGGTACAGAGTTTCATAATTATAGTTGTAGTTATTTCAAGTTTAGTTGACCGGAAGTTTAGACTCGAGAAGAGTTTGGGCTTGAGAGTTTTAGCCTGAATTTTGCTGCGTGGTCATGGTCTTGGTTTGTGCAAGCGAAGGTTCGGTGTCACAAGCCTTCAATTTCAAAGCTCTGCTTCCTCACAGCCGCAAGCGAAGCCTTTAAACCTCAAATCCCGAAAATGCTAGCTTCCAGTCTCGACCAGAATGAAACGTATCGCAGGTTGCCCCCGAGGTGCTGTTGTGACCTGGATTGAGGGTTGTGAGATTTGGGGTTTAGGAAGTTGTTCACAGGTGTTTAGGGCGGGCTCAGAAGTGTGCTGGTGCTTGTGCTTGCGGTCGGTTTGAGTGCTGCAAACTTCCGAGAAAAAGGTTTCTCGTTCTACTGATGGGGTTGTTGCAACTCGGATCTTGTCGTGGCTGGTGGGAGTTGAGCTGCCCGATGTACTCTGGTCCAGAAAGTTGAAATTTCTTGCCCCACAGACCGAGCAGAATCAACCCTCAAGCTGATCCACCGGAACTTCCCACGCCCAGAATGAACTCACTTAATGTAGGGGCCTAAATAATTACCTATACTAGTCTGGGGGTTCCTTACTATAAATATTATAATATACACTCAAACCCTATTCTAGTTATTAAGGCCCCAATATTCTCCCACCAGGAAGATGCAACACATGTAGGTACTTGGAGAGACAGGGCTTTCTCACATGGCTTTTGGGAACCAGTTTTTGAGTCTCCTGCAAAGGTAGTGCTGATGGCAATACCCCGCACAAGATTGAAGTTGATGCTTATATAGCATACATACGGCATAATCTAACTGCAGAGCGAGTCACCGATAAAATGCGCTTATGGCAGTCCGGTTGAGAGATCGTTTCAACTTCAGAACTCGAGCCCAACCAGGGAGATGCGGCCGAACAGAGTCAGTTTACGGATCCAGGGCTAGGGTATCGGGACTCTGGCACTTGGTATAGGGTCCATAGGGCACTTCAGAGTTTCGGGTTTAGGGCTTCTCGCACTTGAGGGTTTAGGGCTTAGCACCCTAAACCCTAAGGTTTAGTAGTGTCGCGATAGAAACGCCGAACTTGTTGAAACCGGGAGATGGCTCTCCCGAGGCAGTTCGACGCGCAGGGAGCCCAGTCGTGAGACTTCGACAGGTTTGGGGTTTAGGAGGGATGTTTGAATCATTATACCCGTACTTGTAAGGCTATATTGTTGTATTGCATCATGCCAAGTTATACACCAAAGCATCATTCCAATGACAGAGCCATCTTAGAACGTTATGGTGAGCGACGTGGGGACGCCAGTACACGCGCAACCAGCACTTGAACATGCAGGGTTACATGTTCAGGGCAGTGGCGCTTCCAGCAACAGCTGCGATGACATCGACAAAGACAAAGCACAGCACGAGCAGCACACAGCAAGTCACACATATCATCAAAACTAATTGATAGAGACAAAAATCCTTTAAAGTGCAAGCACTCGTGATAAACCATCCCAAAGTGGCTGTGTGAAGGCAATGGCTTATCCTTGCCATGAGACCGGTTCTGATAGTATTTGCCGACCTAACCCACCTCAAAGCACTCTTCCGCAACTGTGTACTCTACCCATAGGCCCCATAGCAGTTCCTTTTTGGGGTTACCTTATAGGATTCTCTATATCTGAACCCCATAAAGGAGCTACTTTAGGGCCTGTGGGTAAAGGCTGCCAAATGAGATGGCAAAGAAAACATCATCCCATCCGAAGGCCGGTTGAGAATGTTAGGGTTCAGGGCTGAAGTTAACGCAAGGGTCGTGAGATTTAGGGGTTTGTAGTTGGATTCAGGGTTGAACTTCATGCAATTAATATAGGGGCCTAAATAATAACCTATGCTATTTGGGGGTCTCCTTATTACAAACCCTATTCTAGGCCCCTACATTAGGGGGTTTTGGGGTTCGTCGACATGACATCACTGGAAGACACTGCTTCCAAGCTTCCCGTCCTGGTAGCGACAAGCCTCGAGGTTCAGGAACGGATTTAACATCGGTCCTGTTATATTCATCTTACTATACTGCTCCCCAAAACTCGAATTAAATGATTGAAGCCCCAACATTACCTTAACATTACCTTACCCTAACCCTCCAGGTACCTACTATATAGGGCCCTAGGGGCTCTAGTACCCTATATAGTAGGTACCTGGGGGTTATGGTTAGCGATGCCTCAATGAATCAAGGCGGGCTTACTTCGAGGCAGTCTGCTACTCCTCAGACCTGGTCCTTGTTCTGTTGTGGAACTTAAGCGCTTAGGGTTTAGGGTTTTCGTTTTCAGAATGGAAAGTGCCGTGAACGCCATGCTTCTTAGTTTGGTAATTGTCATCTAGAGACACCTCTTTGCTGCGAAGCCTTCCCCATGCACATCTTGAGGGTCAGTGGTGTAAAACAGTACGACGGTAACCTAAACCCGAAACGGGAGGCCAGGATTTTGAAGATTGTGTGGCTTGATTTATTTGAACTCCTCCTGGTCACGAAACTGCTTCTGCTGGATGCAGGTTTCAGTCGCACGGCCAGGAACTAGCTTCCTGGAGATGGGGGAACATGTTTTTGTGCCGGCTCTTGCAGTGCTGCTCCAAGTCAGCTGATGTACCCGGCACATGGAACGAGTTGCTTCAATGCATGCGGGCATCCCTAAACCCTAGACAGCAAGCATGTAAACAACGGCCTCCCTCGGACCTATCAAGGCCAGCATCATGTCGATGTCAGTCCATGTCGGCCTACTAAGTGGGCATTCTTGTGTTGTGGACACAAACGCCGCGGTGACGGTCGGGGAGCTAAGACGGAAGGTGCAGCAGAAGCTGCACATTGGGGTCAGCGCTTTTGTAGATGACTCGGGGCAGATGTTGCAAGAACATCAGTCCCTCGGTGAGGCGGGCATGCAAGATGGTTGCAGAGTGACTGCAGCCGCAAGCCACATCAAGGTACTTGGCAGCCGCATGTGCAAAGCCTTTGCATTGGTTCGCCCAGAGGGTTCGGTGGTCACCTGGGGAGCTGCAGGTGCACTTTGTCGTGGAGAGATGCGGAATGTACAGGAAATCGCTGCTTCAGTTGCTGCCTTTGCCGCCGTGCAAGAAGATGGCCAGGTGGTCTGTTCGGGTGAGCCATGGGCTGGAAGCGACTGCTCTTCCGTTGGCGGGCAGCTACGGCAAATCAAGACTGTGAGAGCATCCAGCACTGCATTTGCTGCTCTTACCGAACTCGGCACCGTCGTAACTTGGGGTTCGAAGAGTTCCGGGGGTGACAGCCAGGCTGTCACCGAGCAACTTACAGGTGTGGTGGACATTGTGTCGTCCTGGTCAGCCTTCGCTGCCATAAGAGAGGATGGCTCCTTGGTGACCTGGGGGGATGTCTATCGTGGCGGGGATAGCCGGCCGGTGCAGAAGGAGCTTCGAAACGTGTGCCATGTGGCAGCCACCTTGATGTCCTTCGCTGCACTTCGCAAAGATGGGTCTGTAGTGACATGGGGCGAGGAGTGGTCTGGAGGAGACAACACGGCGGTCACAGACGCGCTCCAGGGCGTGCAGACGCTCGTCGCATCTTCCAGGGCGTTTGCTGCTATCACGGAGTACGGACGAGTTGTTACCTGGGGAGATGTGGACAGTGGCGGATGCTGCAACTCCGCCCAGCCGCAGCTGTTCAGCATCTGTCAAGTTTGTGCAACGGACAGGGCATTCGCTGCCTTGCGTACAGACGGTCGCGTGATTTCCTGGGGGAATGCTGAGTCAGGTGCGGGTTTCTGAAAATAGGGGACCCTAATATAGTACCCTAAATAGTAGGATCCCTATTATAAGGACCCCAAAATAAGGTACCCCTAATTTTCGGAAACTCCCAGGTGGCTGCTGTGATCAGGTTCAATCGCAGCTGAACAACATCCGGCAGCTTGCGGGTTCCAGCTGTGCTTTTGCCGCATTGCGCTCAGACGGAACAGTTGTTGCCTGGGGTGATCCGCGTTGTGGCGGCGACAGCAGCGAGGTAGAGCCGCATCTTGTGGATGTGGTGCAGATATATGCTTCCTTGTCGACTGGATGCACTTGGAAATGCCACAAGGGCTGGATATAGGACTGTACAACCTCAATAACAATACTTAGAGGTTGTGTCAGAGTTTGCAGGTTGCTTCTAGCTCATAAGTTAAGGATCAGAATATCTCTCAGCCTGCTGTTCTGAGGGCAGGATTACGCAACCGAGTTGGCGTCATCGTCATCACCAAGCGTTGTCCATGCGGGTTATAATATGCGGTACTGGTTTATGAATGGTATGCTATAGTATATGTTTAATTACGCTTATACCCACACGCAGATATAGATACGTGTCTACACATACATACATATGTATATATGTGTGTATATATACATGTTTGAGGGATGTGCACACATACACATATACATATGCCCTACATATACATGCATGTACATGTATGTGTACATGTGCATACACATACACGTATACATATACATATACATATACAGTTACACATACGCATACCTACACATCTACATGTGCAGATATGCAGACCTATATATGTATATATATATATATATATACGCATATACACACATACACATGCAGCACATGCTTTACAACACCCACAGACACACATACATAAATACACGCATGTAGGTCCTACTGGTACCAGACAGTTGAGGTGCGCCTTTTCTGCTCTACTAGCGACTGGAGATGTGATCACCTGGGGGCAGCTTTACCATGGTGGTGGTGACTCTGCGAGTGAATATCGCTGGCAGCGGCTCACAGATGTACATAGTCTTCAGGTTGTCCCTGATCTGCTTAGACATTAACTCCAGAGGGCTTAGGGCATGCCATCGTTTCGTGCTTCAGACAGAAAAAAACCGGCTGCCTCCCTCGAAACCAATCGGGCAGCATGTAGTCTGCACCCCATCAACGTTAATTCCGACCCACGAACATGCCCCGAGCCAACATCATCAAATCAAAAAATAGGATCCTGATTATGAGCAAAAAGGAGCCCTAATTTCCAGAAGCGCGCACATGAAGCCCTAAACCCTAAACCCTAAACCCTTTTGGAGGCTGGCTTACAGAATGTCAGCATCAAGCTGTCGCTTCCCAATGCGACGCGACCGCCGCGGTGGCTACGTAGCTCGGCTATCCGAGTGGTTTAGGGGTTAGGGGTTTAGGGATTAGGGTTTAGGGCTTTGGGTTTAGGGTTTAGGGGTTAGGGTTTAGGGTTTAGGGGTTAGGGTTCTACCCATAGGCCCCATAGTAGTTCCTTATTTTTGTGGCTTATTTTTTTGATCCTATTGGGTATCCCAAAAAGGAACCACTATGGGGCCTATGGGTAGTGGCTTCGGGGTTTAGAGTTTAGGCATTTGTATCCGGGTGTGTGGCGCAGTTCAGGCGGTTCTTACTTTACCATTCTTGTAGAATAAGCCCCAGGCCCTATTCTAGCCATTGTTGAAGGCCCGGACAACAGTGTACAGAATCACGCGGGAGCTTATACCTGAATACAGTGTCATACGTCCTATGTCCCTCAATCAGGACTTGAACCCTGTTTCGTCAAGGCTTCTTCTTGCAGGATCTGTGTGGGTTTTCTTAAGGGCTTAGGGTTTAGGGTTTGGGATACGGGATCTATGAGGCTTCTGGCAACTGGGAAGACTTCCTAGGTCAGTCTTGTGTCTCCCAACGAAAAACTCATGAATATACTTGCCAGTTCTTGGTGTAAGATTAATAAGCGCGAAGCTTGGGAGCTAGGATTAGGGGGA